TGGTTCACAGCCCCCCTTTCCTTGTTGGTGCCCCTGCTCCCAGCACTGCTGTGCTTTTCCCAGATGCCCCCCTCTTGCCACCAGCCTGCCTGTGGGATGGGGTGGAGATGCACAGAGGGCTGAAGGGGCTCAGGCTGCCCTGGGGGAGCACAGAGACCTTGTCTGTACATGCAGGGATGGAGCTAAGGAAGGCAGAGCTCAACTGGTGCTCAAACTGGCAAGGGATTCAGAAGGTAGCAAAAGGGGCTTCGGTAACAGTGTTGGCAGCCACAGCAAGGCTAAAAAAAAAAAAAAAGAAAAGCGGGCCCAAAACTCAGTGAGGGAGTGGGCCTAGTGACCAAGAATATGTGGAGAGATGTTCAGCAAGCTGGTTGGCCATACATGACTCTGTGGGTCCTCTATGAGGTGAGTTTCAGCCAAGGGTGCTGAGGGTGCTGGCCAAGGTCAGTGTGTGGCTGCTTCTGTCACCCTGGAAAGGCCATGGCAGTCAGGGAGGGTCCTGATGCCTGGGAAAAGGCAAACATGCCACCCATCTTCATGAAGAGCAAAAAGGAAGACGAGGGAGCTACAGGCTGCTCAGCCTCACGTCTGTCCCTGTGAAAGTAATGGAGCAAATCCTCCTGGAAGCCATTTCCAAGCACCTGAAGGACAAGAAGGGGATTTGGAACTTCCAGTAAAAACTGAATAAGGGCAAATTCTGCCTGACCAACGTGAATACCGTTTACAATGAGATGATGGGCCCTTTGGATGAGGAGAGAGGTGGATGTAGTAGCCCTCAGTGAAAAGGGCTGCCTGGGACCCACACAAAGTTGAAGACAAATGCCAGTGTTCATCCTGCCAATGCGCTGGGACAACTCCAGACAAGAGGCCAGGCTAGGGACAGCAGCTCTGCAGAAAAGGACCTGGGAGTCTGGGTGCACAAGTGGGACAGGAGGGAGCAGTGTGCCCTTGGGAAGAGGCAGGTCAACCTCATCCCAGGCAGCATTAACAAAATCACAGACAGCAGCTTAAGAGAATTGACTCTTCTTCTCTATTCATGGGCCCCAATAAGGTTACTGTGTCCAGTGTGGGTCTCCCCAGCACAAGAAAGACCTTGACAGGCTGTGAATAGTCCAGCAGAGGCTGGAGAGATTGTTGGGTCCTGGAGAACCTTGTGTACTAGGAGAGGCTAAGTGGGCTGTTTGGTTTTGAGGGTTGGGTTTTTTGGAGAAACCCCTCAGAGCCAAGCAGCGAAGCAAGGGCTCAGGGGAGATGGTGGGATCTCGGTCAATAGAGATGTTCCAAAGTCATGGAGACAAGGCCCGGTGCACTTGACCTAGCACAAGTTGTCTGAGTATGGTGTTGGAGACCAGCTTAGGCAGGAGCTATGGCACATCAGGTCTGAGGGTCAGTATGAAGCTGTTTTCTTCTTTAGTCATAACGGTGGTGGAGTTGGGTATCAGAGTTGTGCCTGTATGCACCCCCACTGCACTGACATCATTAGAGCCCAATAAATTTTTCCTTTTAAAAGATTTTCCTTCTACCTCTGGGTGCTTGTGCAACCCTCACAGCTTCCATCCAGCAGAAATCACTTCAGGCTGCCATGGTTCCCCTTTGTACCAAGAAGAATCCTGGTGTGAGGACATCTCGAAGGGCTCACCCATGCCCCCAGCACAGTGTGAGCTCTTCTACAGGAGTCGTTCCTAGGCTGGCACTCATGCCATGGGCTGACGACTATCACAGCTCATCTCCAAGGCCAAGCCTTGCCAGGACCGTGCAGACAGGCCAAGGCGACCAGCTCCAAGCAGAGACACACCCTCTGGGTGCCCACGCAGCTCACAGAAGGGCACCCACAGAAACCTCATCGCCCAGCACAGAGGGGCTGTGGCAGTGCCGATGGGTGGCAGTGGGCAGAGCAGGGAGGACCTCCTCAGCTGGGCTGGCCAAGTCCTGCTGCCTCACATGGCCCCACAGCCCCATGGTGCAGGCACTGCGTGGACCAGGGTGGTTGTTCAGGGTGGGGAAATGTCTGCCCAGCACAGACCCCGTGGCAGCCGACCATGGTTCTTCCTCCAGCAGTGGCAGCCTCTCACCAGCACCCGACCCTAGGTGAGCCCCACGTAGGGTTTTTCAAGCAGCCATGTGTAAGAAACTGAAAGAATTGTTGCCTCAAACAGTCATAAACACAGAAAAATTTGACAAGCTTTGGCCATTGTGATCGTTCTAAGGAACGCCACCCAAGGAAGCATGGAGTGTATCGAAGGGTGCACAGCTCCACTCCCTCATGGTTGTATTTCCAAATTCCTTAGATAAGCCTCAATGAAGGGAAACAAACTGAGTGAAACCATATGTTCAGGTTAAAGGAGTGATAAGAGAGAGAAAGAACCAGCACCAGAAGGACCTAAGCAAAAACTGAGGAAAAAATCAAGGGTGTTGGGGCGAGCACAACCACTGACTCAATTGACAAGGGGGTAGGGGCACCTGATCTCCCTTCCATGCACACACAGAACCCATGTTCCACCTTTTCCTCATCTCTCATGGAAATGAGTTGGAGGAGAACCTGCCTCTCCTTGTCTAGTATGAACGTCAGCAGAGAAAATGAACTTAAAAGGCAACAGAAAACTTTACTGGGGGTGCACCTACCGCTCAAGATTACCAGACCTGAGACAATGCTGGAACTTGGGGTGGTGATCCGCATACTTCGACTCTCTCTCTCTCCCTTTTCCTTTTATTCCTTTCTTTTCTTCCTTACAGGTTTATTAATAAGAGGCCACAGTGCTTGCTATCCTTTTCCAAGTTTAAGTTGTTTTTACTGCAAGTAAAACATTTTAACCTGTCATTTGGTGTCATTTCACTTTAATTTAACCCAAGGGGACCACAGAACCTTTATGCTTCCCTGCATTCCCAGTCTGGCTCATAACAACCTTGGAAAGGCTCATTGCCAGTACGATATTCATTTTTGGCTATCTGGCCTCTGCCTTCAAATGCATGCTATGAGAGAAGCACACCTGTGGAGCACCTCATCTGCACAGTCAGAAGGGGTTCTGTAAGCATCAGCAATGTTGCCCTAGAGAAGAAGGCATTTCTCAACTGCCAGAAGGCACAGAGCACATTTAGGGAATATTAATGCACTCAGAAACACACACCTCCGTGGTTCACCTCGCTGAACTTCCTTCACCATTCTTTTAAGCAATGAACACAGAGAAATGTTCTTCCTCCTAGGGGTCTTACTAGGAGAGAGTGGAAAAGAAGGACCTTGGCCTTCCATGGTGTTGGAGAAGAGCAGAATGCACCTCATTCAAAAGAGGGAAGCAGCAATATGTTTTATTGAGGTAAAGTACTAAATAGACAGAGTTCCATAAGTGCGATGGAACTGAACAAAGTTTTGACAGGGACTTGATAAGGTTCAGTAAGATTGATGGTGAGGTTCACCCTACTAATTACTGCATGGAGGAAACCCACAAAGGAAAATAGAGTTAGAATTGAGTTAGAATGTTTCACATAAAGACCAGAGATGCAAGGAGAGAGGAGGACACTCCCACTGTGTCACACTCCAAGGGGCCCCCATAACAAATCCTGTCACATGTAAAGAAGGGTCCAGCCCAGTGAGCCAGACTGGGAGGCCCCCACATCCCAGACCGGTCATGCAGGGTTACTGGGGCCAAGTCTGGGCTTTGAACTGTGCAGGAAGACACAGTCCATGTACGAAAATGGAAAACCAGGGCAAAATGCCAACTTGGGAAGGCCATGTGCGTCGGAACAAAGAGGAAAAGACCCAAAGGGGATCCCCAGGAAGAACCACATGAAGGAGGAGAAACAGAAAATGGGCCTGTGAAATGCAAACTGCTTTTTGAGGTGTGACACCAAAAATTCAGGTGGTGGGGGGGACATCCAATTCCCCAAGCTTGTGAGGGATCTCACAGCTACCTGTAAGACCATTGTGGCGGGCAGGTCAGTGCTACATGTTTTGCCTTGTCCTTTGGCTGACGACCTGATCAAAAAGCTCTGTCTGACTGAGCCAGGGGAGAGGTCAGGAGTGGGCTGGGACTTGGGCACTCACCCTACAGCTCCAACCCTTCTGAAGGGCGCATCAGCCCCAGGGAGCATCCCAGAGAGGGATGGCAGCCTCCCCAGTGTCCCCACTACTTGAGCTGGTCCAAAGGGCGTGAGGAAACAGAGGCCAGGCACTCTCTGTCTGTCCTGCATTCATGCTGCAAGTGACCTTCAGCCCTGGCTGCCTTTGTTCCCCTTCTGCCTCCCCACCAGCCCTGCTGCCCAGGACAGAAGGAGATCCCCTGCCCTGGGACTCCTTGAGCAGCTTCCACGTTTCTCCTGTCTCCTTTCCCCGTGCCTGCTGCATTTTCACTGGCTCCCACCAAAATGCAGGGTCATGGCTTATGGGTATCTGGATTTAGTGCTTTACTCTGGGTGATCCTCACCTTTGAGGGATGTCTCATCTCCTGAGTGTCCATTCACTGCCAACCCAGGGCACAGAGAGTGTCCTTTATTTCCTGACCCCTCCAGACTCCTTTCCACAGGGAACACTACATGCCATCAGCCCTGCTATATATGTGGCTACCTAAGAGGTAATGGAGAGCTCCTGCAGCACCTACACAGCCCCTGGACACCAGGAATAGTCTTTGAAAGCACCACATGGTGTCCAATAGATCTCACACTTGCCACAAATTTATCGACCCAAAGCAGGAAAAAAAGAATGAAAAAAGACATTTTTAAAAGTCCAATTCCTTGGGCTTATTCTTGGCAGCAGCTTAGTTAGGACAGCCCAGCCTTCAGGCACTGCACGCAAGAGACCCTTTTATTGCTGAGATGCTCTCAGGGAAGCCGGATCTGGTAGAGTGTTCAAGGCATTTGTGAAAGGGTGAGACACAACAGATGAAGCCTCTAGAGAAGTGGAATGAAGCCAGGCAATTACCTCTTATGATAATTATCAGAAGGGAAAAATAAATCAGAGGCTTGGCCTAAGCCAAGCTCTGGGTACTCTGCAGAGAAGGTGAGGCAGGTTACTGCTGGTGGAACAAGGTGCGTTGGATCAATTCCTTCACCGCATCCTTGAGCTCCCTGTTCCTCATGCTGTAGATAAAGGGGTTCAAAGCTGGAGGTACCACTGAGTACAGAACAGCCACCACCAGATCCAGGGATGGGGAAGAGAAGGAGAGGGGCTTCAGGTAGGCAAAAAATGCAGTGCTGATGAACAGGGAGACCACAGCCAGGTGAGGGAGGCACATGGAGAAGGCTTTGTGCCGTCCCTGCTCAGAGGGGATCCTCAGCACGGCCCTGAAGATCTGCACATAGGACAGCACAATGAAAACAAAACAAGTAAATAATAGAAATGCAGTAACCACAAGGACTCTAACTTCCCTGAGATAGCCTGAGTCAGAGCAGGAGAGCTTGAGGATCTGGGGGATTTCACAGAAGAACTGGTTTATGGAATTGCCTTGGCAGAGTGGTAGGGAAAATGTGTTGGCAGTGTGCAGGAGAGAATAGAGAAATCCAGTGCCCCAGGCAGCTGCTGCCATGTGGACACAAGCTCTGCTGCCCAGGAGGGTCCCGTAGTGCAGGGGTTGGCAGATGGCAACGTAGCGGTCATAGGCCATGATGGTGAGAAGGGAATATTCTGCTCCAAGGAAAAATACAAAGAGAAAGACCTGGGCAGCACATGCCAAGAAGGAGATGACCCTGGTATCTTGGAGCAAATTGGCCATGGAATTGGGGAGAGTGGTGGAGATGGAGCCAAGGTCGAGGAGGGAGAGGTTGAGGAGGAAGAGGTACATGGGGGTGTGGAGGTGGTGGTCGCAGGCGATGGCGGTGATGATGAGGCCGTTTCCCAGGAGGGCAGCCAGGTAGATGCCCAGGAAGAGGCAGAAGTGCAGGAGCTGCAGCTCCCGTCTGTCAGCAAATGCCAGGAGGAGGAACTGGGTGATGGAGCTGCTGTTGGACATGGTTTCCCTATGAACCTGGGTGCCTGTACTAGAGGGAAAAGACAGTGACGAGTGAGGACAGACTTCTCTGTGAAAAAACAAATAAATCACTCAAATAATCATGCCCCCTAGACATACTACCCCTCACATTTTCCTGCTTCTTAGGACCTTTGTGGACATCCCTGGATATTACTCTGGTTTGTGCTGGCTGGGGGTGCTGTGAAGAGCAGGGCCTGTGGGCTCCCAGATGTTTTGGACATGCTCTAGGCCAGGCTCTGCCTGGGAGCAGGGGGCATGTAGGGGCCAGGTCTCACAGATTTTCTCAGGTGAATTCCCTTCGAACATTAAAGGGCTTGACAAAATCTACAGCCCCAATTCCAAGGAAACTTGACTGCATCAAGGAGTTTCAGGCTTTTGTTTCTGTTTTTTCTTTCAGAAAGCTCTTCCCTACCACCCCACTGCCCCCACCCCAGCCCCATCTCCTCTGGGGACTCTTCTGTGAAATCAGAAATGCTCAGCATCTCTGCTGTGCTCAGTCTGAGCAGCCACAAGTCCTGGGAGGCAAAAGGCGTTGCTGTGGCTTAGCACAGGGGCAGGCGAGCTGGTCTGTCCGTTTGTCTTGTTCCCGACTGCCCTGTGTCTGCCCCTTGAAATGGAGGGGGATTGCACTCCTGAGGTACCTGGAGAAGCAATCAGATCCCTCTGAGAGCAGAGGGATCCACTGCAGGTCACTAAATACTTCACCCTGTCACCAGGTACTTTAGCAAAGTCTTACCACCCCACTCCTTGCCAAAGACATAGAGTTCATTTTTCCAACAAATTAACATTTTCCTTCTTGTAGCATCCCAGGGATTCTACAATGCATTTTACACACAAATGCTGGGGGAGAGATCTGCTGTCTGCAGGGTGACTCCCAGCTTGGGAGGACATCCCAAGGAGTCACCAAGTGTCCTCTTGGTGTCATCTCCTGAAGTCAGCTCAGTCCCCACCCGCACGGGCTGCATGGCCCAGAGCCCCACAGCTTCTAGGAGAGCTGAGACACCGGGTTCCCATGGACACGTCTGCGTGGGAGGACCCACGAGATGCACCGGAATGGCCCAGACGGGAGAGGCCAGCAAAGAGACAGCCAGGCACTCGGGACAGCCTTCCCCTGTCCCAGCTCTGCCCGCCAACTCCCAGCTGGTGACACCGCAGGGCAGTCACCCTCAGCCCCTGTGCTGCACGGGCACGGGGCAGGAGAGATGCCCTTCACCTCTTTTTGGTGCTCAGGGGGGCGAGGAGGCTGCTGGTGGGCTGGACTCCATGGCTGTGAGGGCAGAGGCTCTGCTGGGTGGGAGAGAGAAGGGGAGAGATGTCAGTGTCACAGAAATCGGGAATGAAAACTCCTTCATGCTGGGTTTAGCATTAACAAGCAGGCATTACTATACTTGGCTGGAGACATGAGGGAATCATTCCACCTGACATGTCCACCGTACATTACAGTAGCCAAAGCTTATATCCCTCTGTTGCATACATATTCATTAAAATTTCCTAAAACTCATGATCTTATATACATAGTTATTAGGCATGCAGTTTAGGTCTCCGAGGGGCATCCATGGGGGTCGTTGGTGTTCTCTAGCAGTCTCTGGTGGTGTTTGGAGAGGAGCCCTTCTTGAACATTTCCTATATATTGGAATTGGACTTCATTGGTTTATGTATGCACTTCTTATCTCCAACCAGCTTCAGCTAGTTCATTCTTTTGCAGAGCACCTTAATCTCCAAGGACAAGGGCTTCTCATTAGGAGTCTCCCAATTTACACATGGAGCCTCTCCATTTAGGTCTTCCCCAGGAGGTATTTATCACGCTTGCCTAGATCAAGAACGTCTGTGTGACAGAGAATTTCACAGGTGTTTTACTGATTGCTTAAGTTCTTATGCTACCCTAAACAACTTTTTTTTTCTTCACCCATTTTCCAACACCAGGGGAAGGGACCTGCGCTGCAGGGCATGGCCGGAGGTGCTGGTAGATCCCCTGAAACAGGATTTCTGTTAAAATTCTCACTCCCTGCCCACGTCTCTGCTGCCTGGAGCTGTGCCTGCTGGCAGCCTGTTTTTTTTGGTCCCCATCTCCTGCACACACAGACCCCATCCCAGCTGCTGTGTGTTCAGCTCTGCCCTGCAGACACCTCCTGGGGCAGGGCACTGCCCAGGACCTTCTCTGCTCTTCAAATTTCAGGTATATATGGCAGAGAAAACCTGCCAAGCCTGCTGCTGGTGATGCTGGTGATCTGTAAGCTGTGGGGGATTGCTCTGATGCTCCCAGATTCATTCACCTCTCAGTGAAACAGATCTGCATTGTCAGTACCTTCTCCAAACCAGTGAGAGTCATTCCCATATCTCACTGCTCACCCAGCCAACCCAGAGTAGCAAACTGAAAGCACAGGCTCCTTCCCTTGCAGCTGAAGCCTCCCTTTTTTCTCTCTTGCAAGTTTCCCCCCCAGAGCTGTCCAGGCTGTCAGCAGGCGCTGTGGGCAGCCCTGACCCACGCATCACCCCCTCAGCAGCACACTGACCCTGCCCTACCAGGGGTGATTGTGATGAAGGACAGCCCGGGGTGCCCCTGGCTGCACACCCAGCTTCACGCTCCTGCAGCCGTGCTCAGGAAAAGGGAAATGACATGCCCTGTCCCTCTGACCGTTCGGCAGATAATCACTGCTCCAGAGAGCATCAGCCCTGGGATGTGCCAGCTCTAGAAGGACCCTCCCAGAGACTCTACAAGTACCCACCTGCAGCCAGAGACTTACCGTGTTAGGAGCTGTGATGATTTGTCCCCCAGTGAACTCTCAGCATCCTCCCACTCCACACTGTCTTAAATCCCTCTCACTTCTCTCCTCTCCCCTTGTCACCTGTGGGCAGTGCCCTCAGCCCTGCCGTGGCTCTGCAGAGATGCTGCTCCCGGGCAGAGCTGTCTCTCTCCTGTGCTTCCCGCTTGCCATCAGCTCCTCCTGCCTCCGGAGCCCGGCCCAGCCCAAGGCACCACTTTCTCTACACTGCTGCTGTCCCTCGAGAGATCCCTGGGTCTCGAGGGCTGACAGCTCCTGAAAGGCAGCGGGGCCACCCCTGGGGAATGTTCTCTGAAGTCAGCTGAAGTAATCACCAATGTACCTCTCCCAACAGTGGAGAGAGACTGATTACAACATGGTCTGGCCTGATAAAGCTGTCAGTGCGTCTGGAAAATGGAATTTTCCTGTCCCAAACCAAAAAAAGGATGCTTAGGGAGGGATAAAGAAGGAATTTGTTTCCCCTGTGCAGGGCAGGAATTCAGCTGAGGCAATGTGAACATCTCATTCAGAGCTGGAAGCCCTTGGGCTCAAGCAAGACTCAGCTCACCCCATGCACCCCACATCTGACATGATGGGGCAGCTTCTGGCATCTTCTCACAGAAGTCACCCCTGCATGCCCCTCTCCCTGCTGCTAACAAAAAACCTTGCCACGTAAGCCCAATACAGGTTCCTGGTCATCCTTCCTATGATGTGCCCTCAAATACTCCAGGGTGTCTTAAATCTCAGGGTATGACTGCTGCGTGACATATTCAGTATGTTTTAACCACTGAAAAATGGTTATTGTCAGCCTGGCTTGCACTTCCAACTCTTTAAAATCTTTTGCACTGTGTCTTGTGTATGTGACAAAGACTTTGAGGGAGGGAACACAGAAACAGAGGTGGACGGGACTGAAGAGGATTTACCAAGTAATTGGGATAGATGCATGTTATGGTCCTTATCATGTGTGATCAGTGCCAGTAAATGCCTTGTGGAGTCGATGTCATCAGGACTTGGTCATGGTCAGACAAACTGTGCTCCTTTTCACATATAACATCCATGGACATTTTTATCGGACCTAATCTCCAGCACTTCCACAAACAAAAATAATTTCCATTTCTTAGGACAGGAATCACCCTGTTTTCAGAGAAACAATTTAAAACCCAAAGTCAAAAATACTCGTTCACAGAGAGGTCCAAAATATCTGGGTTTGACATTTAACAAGTGGGTCAATCGGAGGAGCCTCCCAGGGTGACCTTGCCGATTGAGGGTGGGGGTTTCTGCTTCTGGGGGTCTGAGACTCCTTATGGGATGATGGAGAGAGCACTGGGGATTGTGCCAGGCTTGCTGTGGCATGCCTAGTGAAAAACCAAAGGCAGGGAAAGAGAAGGACCAAGGTGGTTTGGGAAGAAAGAAGCATCGGAAAACAGGTGGAAATGAGGATGAAAGGAGCTGGTCATGTGTGGCTGGTCAGTATACTGGTTTAGGCGTACCATGGAACTGATGACTCCAGTCTGTCCTGTCTTCTTATGAAATTCCATCCACCACAACTTTCTGGGGTGAGGACATCTCTGCTCTTGGTACGGATAGAGGTCCAAGGGCCCATCCCTGGAGTGGGAAGCACAAGTCAAAGGGGCTCAGGCACCTTCAGGGCCAGCAACTGGAGAGATCAAGCTGTGTGCATGTGTCATGTTGGTGGGTATGTCAGTGGGTGGAACCACTAGTGTACATCAAACCAGATTAACCAGCAAGTAGGCGAGTCCTGGGAGCCAGGTATTTGGAGACCCTATGTCTGGACTAGACCCTGGTGAGCCCAGAGGATCTGTGAGTTGGTTGCTTGAGGGAGAAAGTGGCCCAAAGCACCACCTGGAGAAAATG